TCAGTTCTGCTGAGAAGAGGCCCAAGTGGGACTGAGGGGAGGCTGTGTGCTAGACCACAGCTAAAAGTCACAATACCCTAGCCTAGCCTTCCCCTGGCCCTTCCCCCTTGCTGGCTGGCTGGGTTCTGCCTGGGGACAGGATGCAAAGGCAGCAGCCCATCTAGTCTAGCCGGCAGAGCAGCCCAAATTTGCTCCACAGATTTTTAAATGCTGTCACCCTGCATTTAACCCCTGCCTGACTGCCACATTCTTTCCAGGACAAAAGGGGTTTTATCAGGGAGTCATTCTCCAGGGGCGGGCCCATGACCTCAGGCACTACAGAAGAGGCCAGCCAACAGCCTAGATGCTGCCTAAGACTGGTCTACACCAGGGCGTGGGTTTGTACCAGGTAAACCGCCCTTGCCTGGAGCCATTAGACTGGTTTGGTTTTAGAGAGATGTAGTCTGCATCCTTGGTGTTCCAGACTGCCATTTCTCACAGTGGGCAGAAGGGAATGGGTGGTCACCCAAAGCCCTCAAAGCCCAAGTTCAGGACCACTTGAATAAAAGAACAGCTGTGAGCTCCTTGGTGTGTGGCACACTCACCTTCCAATGGCATAAGAGACCTTAGATAAACTATAGTTTACAAGTTCCCAAGCGGGAAGACCACTTGAACAACGACAGCTGTGAGCTCACTGGTGTGTGCCCCACCCTCACCTTCCAACGGCATTAGAGGCCTCAGACAAACCATAGCTTACTAGTCCCCAGGCGGAAAGAGCCATGAAGAACACAACAGGCACTCAGAGCCCAGATTCCTAGTTCACTATCACAATTTCAAGCTAGACAATAAATACTTGTTTATATTTAGCTGAATGACTTTCCTTAAACCAGAATACAGCCATCTTCCCTGAGCTACTTGGTTCAAGCCCAAGTGGGCCCTTGGACTGAGCCAGGACAGCATTTTCAGATTATATGGGTGTTTTTGAAGGTTCTCCTCAGTCACTAAGATGGATCCCAGCAGAGATTGGAAGAGACAGACTTGTCCTTGGAGTTGACTTGGTACTGGATCAAGGCATTCCCACCTCTTAGAAATCAAATCCAAGGGCACTCCCACCAGACTTAGAAACCAAAAGTAAGACCTTAGCAATGGAATTGGCCCTACTTTCTGTTGGAGGAATAATATCCTTCCATGACTGCACAGCTAGGAGATGGGGTTCCTTCAACACCCCTAAGACTAATGAGTGCTTTCATCTTTAATGCCACCCCACCCCAACCCATCCCTGGCTCAGTCTAAGAGAATTCCTTTTTAAGTTTAAGTATCTACAAATGCCTGTGGGCCTCCAATGCTGTTCTGATGGGGACTTCCTCAAGGCAGAGGCGCAGCACTAAACACTGATATATCTCCAGGAGATGGTTGAAGGCAAGGTCTACATCTGAGTGACCTAGCACAAATGAGACCGTGCTCTTCTACCTATCCAGCCAGGACTCCACACAGAGCAAGTGCAACCCTCCTCCCACCCCCAACTCCAGACAGAAGCTGCAAAGATGACAGCTCCTAGACCTGCTCTTTTTCCTATCAACACAAATTCTTGCCATCTCCTCCACTGAGATAGACACAGAAGCTTCCCAGCTATGTCAAACTCTCACCAAGGTAGCTCTCCCCGACTTGTTCAGTTCTAAGCAAGGGCCTGACCTAGATTTGCATGCCTTCAAAAGACATTAGTATTTAGTGCCCAGAGCGCTAAACCCAGGCTACCACACTGCAGTTCTAAACTAATCCCCAAATACCAGCCCCCACACCTCAGGCCACATACTCAAGGAGAAACCATCCTGATGGGAAGAAACTCCATGAAACAGGGATCCCAGACTCTCTCAAAGCCTGACTGTGGGCATTTGCATGCTCGTGTGTCAATACATAGGATTGTCTGTCTGTCTGCAGCGCAGACACACACACACAGACACAGACACACAGACACAGACACAGACACACACACACACACACACACACACACACACACACACACACACAAGCTTGCACAAAGCAATCCATCTGTCTCAGAGAGCCGGCTGTCAGAAATGAAAGTACAATCTCCTGGAACCAAATTACTGCCTTCTAAAAATGTCCCATTTTCCCAGACTGAGGAAACTTGCAAGGGTGGGGTGTGTTTCACTGCAGGCCCCTAAGGACCTGGCTTGTCATTCCCTGCCCCCCCCACACCCCCCAAGCTGCAAGGCTGGAATTCCAACCTGCAGCCACTCAGCTGCTCTCAGGCTTCTTACCCACCCACTCCCCTTCCTCTTGGGTTGGCTGGCCCCTGGGGCCCTTTGTGAGGACGCAGGAAAGGGAAAGGCCAGCCCTGGAGTCACCCCTGCATTTCAGGAGGTGATAGGCCTTTGAGCATACCCCACCCCCACCTCCAAGGCACCACATTTTCACATTCGGCTGTTTTCTCTTTCCCTTCTTCCCTTGCCAAGAGAATCAAGCTCTGGCTCATGCTGCCGACCTTCCTCCCACCCTAAACTGAGCCCCATTCATTAAGCCTGCTCTCAGCCAGGGCAGGACAGGAAGGAAAACAGCACATAGGGCCTGTGAAAAGAGACTCAGAGAGGTTATTTCAGGGGGGTGGAGGGAGCAACCCATTGCTGGGGTTTTCAGTGCTCCCCACCTTGATTGATGCCTGTTCTGCTCCCACCCCAGCACCCACTACACTAGCCCTTTCCCAACTCCTGCCTCATTCGGTCGGTCATCCCTGAACCCCAAGACCTCATCCTATACAAAGCAGGCACATCTAGCTGCCTGCCCCCCGACCCTCTTCATGATAAGGAGGCCTGGGCTTCCTACACTTATAAAACCTTCAGCCCAGGCTCACACAATCACCTTTTGGGGGCATTCATACTACAAGTATAGCAAGGGTTTCTCCTTGCCCATCACTTCTCCTCCAGACACCCCCAAACCATTGGCATTAACCCAAAAAGATCTTTCTACAACTTCTCCCCAGGCACATTATTAATACACAGTTCCAACTACGCACAGAAAGAAGAAAGAACTCCAACTTTGAAGCCTTGGGAATTAGTAAATCAAGAGCTAAAATTCAAAACAAATGCTCTTTCATGTGGAGGCCTTCCTTTTTTTTTTTTTTGCTTTTTGCAGCTTTGTTACACTATGCCATCCCTTCCAAGACACACCACTCCTTCCCTCCTAGCAACTCCTCATTCATCTAAGAGGTTGCAATCACTTTGGGGGAATGGATGGGGGGAATGGGGGGGTCACTAGATTGCTGCATCCCTGTTTCTTTCTAGCACTGAAGGAGCTTTGGGAAGCAAATGCCCACCCATCTCGGGGTGGCTGCCTGGGTCATGCCGTTTGGCTCCCAGGGTAGGGTGAGGAGCTGGTGGCTCAGCCTGGTGTCGTCATTTCCTCCAGTAGAGGAGACAGACAAGATGTTATCAATAAGACAAACCTTCCGAAAAGCCCCTTTCAAAAGCTACCACTTCCCTTGCTTATTTCATGTGGTTTGGAGGAGACAGGCTCCTCCCTGCACACCCAGGGCTTAAAAAATAAAACTAGTTAACAACATCCTGAGTGTTATTTTGCTCTGACTTTTCCTCGACTGGTCCTTCTTTCTTTCAAGAACTCTCACCTCATTCAGCCTTAGAAAGCAAAAAAGATGTAGGGCCTTCCTTGCCACACTGGCTCCCTCTCAGTCATTAAGGCCTACCCCTCTCTTCTCTGCCCTCCCCCCTTGGGGGGGTCCCTCTTTTCCAGCTCAGTTCTCATTAGAAGCTTTGCGTAAACAATACCCTGGGTCTCAGATAACAGTCAGAGTACACACTGCACTCAAATCAAAACAAACAAGGGTCTCCCTACAGTCATTTCTCAGCAATCTCAATTCCTGGAGCAGAGAGGCTGGTTTATCAGTCTAGAATGGACTATACCTGAACCACACGTGCAGGCCAACAATTGACTAGCCAGTCAAGGGGTCAGTCACCCCACAAAAGAGAGTGAACAGCAGTTTTACAATTTCCACTAAGGGCTGATACACCAAGACCTTCTACCAATGGCCCAAAGGCCTAAGAACTCTGCTGGAATTTCCCCCACCTCCATGTTACTTTCCTGCTTGCTTTAACTAATTCTCAGAAAATAAATGATGGCAAGAGGGAAGAAAGAGGTCTTTTAAAAAGGATCACCTTCACGATGCATTGCCAGTGAGCTGCTGTTATCACCCTATCCTGTCATTAATCAGGGACAATGATGCTGCAGGGTCTCCCCAGGGTACCTCCTCCAATCTTCAAGCACCATCTCTCTAGGCCTTATGGCCCAAGAGCCTCAAAGAAAGCCTGCCCTAGAGAGAAGCAGCTAACTACAACACCCACTGTGTGCCGTAACCCCTGCCCTGCTGCTCCTAGGCCCATGTGCTACAGAAGATACAAGCTCTAAAGGTGGGTCTGTCTTCTTCAATGTACCCACATAAGAGTAAGCGAAAAAAGAGCTTCAACGCATGAAATCATGACACCAAAGGGAAGTGCTTTAAGCCAGAAGTTTCTTAAATTAACCAAGAGGGGTGGTAAGATGGTTTAGTGGGTAAAGGCGCATGCCACCAAGCCTGGTAACCCGAGTTCGATCCCTAGAGCCTATGTGGTGGAAAGAGAGAAACAACACGCCAAAAGTCATCTCTGACCTCCACATATGAGCAGTGGCACACCCTCACAAAGACACAAACAAGTAAGTAAATGTAAAGACACTTTTTAAATACAAATAACCACCAAACACTTGTCACATACAATCAGTCCCCAGCTGACTAGTTTCCTCAGGCCTGGGATGGGCGGGGTTGTGATGAATAAAGGGCCACAGGAAGGCAAGCTGAGGTTGCCAGTCACTCCAATGTGTCTAGTTTTAGGCATATAAAAATGAGAATGAGTTCCAGGCCAGTTGGGGTGGCAGAAGGCCACCCCCATCCCTCCAGTCTCTAGCAATTTCTAGAAACATTGGATTTGCCAAGAAAATAAGATAAAGCATCTTACCTGAAAGCCCCTCGGGGGCCAGATAATTTGTTCCCCCTGTTTCAGCGGAGGAAGGCACAGCATCTGGACAGTCTGCTGTAGATTCAGAAAGGGAGAGAGAGAAATAAATACATAGAATACCAACACTCGTCTTTATGCACATTCTGAACAGCGTGAAAGAAGGACCACACATTCCAAAGGGCTGACTCGCAGGCCCGATGCTGATTATTAATGGTCTACTCAGCTTCATGGTCCAGTCTAAGACAGACCACAGCACCTTGTCACCCCGTCTGGGCTCCAGGCGTCTAGTTAATCATTAGTCAAGTCAGGCTCAATCACAGACTGGCTGGAATTTCTGTTGTATTACAAGTCCCCCATTGAGAAGATCAGGTAATTCCCAAGGTCAAAAAAGGTTCGAGGCATACTTTCTCAACCCTGTTTGGTCTTTCCCCATCAAATACAAAAGTTTCCTTTCTACTATTCCCACAGACAACAGCAGTCTTTAAAAGACATTTCTTTTCCTTTTTAATTGAAATCTAATAGAAAATTTGAGTAAACTCACTGAATTCTACCAAGGATTCACCTGTGTATGCCCCATAGGGTTCAAGACAGAACCTTCCCAGCAAGGCTCCTAGCTGGAGGGAAATGCTCTACCTGCTTCCAGACTGGTCCAAACCGTTCTCTGGAAACCTTCCCAGACAACCCTGGTCTACAAGGTTGCCAGCCTCAGTTCTTGGAGAATCTTTCTGGCCCTGTTTCCTACCACTGTCTTCACTGGTCCTTATCCTACAGATCCCTGTATTCTCTAACTATATCCTCTATTTCAGGTGCTCAGCACAGTGACCTTGATGTTAACAAGGATAATGACCATTCCAGCTGAGAAAGACAGACTAGACTCCACAAACACCCTCCAAGCAATTAAAAAAAAAAAATAATGCCATGAACCACAACTAATTAGTCCCAAAGAGCACCAATGCAAGGACCCTCTAAGTTTCTCTTGCAGCACTGCCAATGTCAAACTTTCCCAAGTCCCTGTAGAAAGCTTGGCTCAGGAATGGGGTCCCCAGCTCCATAGCAAATGCACTATTGGTTTGTGAAGAATCCAGTTCTCCTACCCAGGCTACCAGGCTACTAATAAATGTCCCAGAGGTGTGCATTCTAACTAGAGCCCCTTGGCCATACTGGCAAACAGTTATTCAAACCAGAAGAGCGATCTAGATGCAAGTAGCCTGGACAACCAACCCCCTCAATAGTCCGGTAGCCACTTCGAATTCCTGACAAGGGGATGGTGACCATCAAGCCTGGCCTACACATAGCCCCCAGCAATCTGCTGAGGATCCCTTCCTCTCTTGCATTCTCTCTCCCAGGCTGGAAGAACCACTTCTCAAGAACTCTACAGTGGGGAAGAAAAAGGGAAAGTGCACAATTGTATAGGACTTGCCTGGTATGTATGAGAAAAAAAACCAAAACTCTTCTAAATGGCTGATGATGGGGGTAAGAGAAGACTATGTATACAACCTCATTTCATTAGGGTAGAGGATAATGCCTAACAGGAATATACCGCTTTACAGGATACACTTAATCAAATGAAAACAATAGGGGGAGGCAGGAAAAGGAGTTCCTTGTCAGAAGGGGCAAGCCTGTACTTTCTAGACTACTCCACTCGCCCCACCATTTTCTAGAGATTGGCTTCTCATTCCCCTCCTCCACCATCCCCAAATGGAAGACACCCCACATTAAACAAGATAATGTGGGCATGGCCACGCCCCCAACTCTGGCTGGCTCAGTGCCAGGGGCAAGGTGTATTTCAAAGGAAAAGCCTGGTTTCTCTGGGCAGAGCTTCTAGAGACCTCAGTTAGGGTGTCAGCCTGTCTCACATCAAAGGTGAGCCAGCTCTACACTGCAACCACAAGAGATTTTTATGAAATGTGCTCGGCCCTTCTGCAGAGCCTTTGATCTTAAGAGGGATTTACACATTAATTAGGCCTCCCTACCACCCCTGTGAAGCAGCAAGGCGTGTTTGTTCTACAGACACAGGTAAACTGAGGCGCCACTGACTAGGCCTAGGGGCCACCCAGTGAGCTAAGCCACCCCAAAGTCCAGTTCCTATCCTTGGGCCTCCACTCCCAGGCAGGCCACCAAGTTGTAACCCTCTTCTCTGGAGTTAGTTGGCCAAGGTGAGCCAGGTCTCCACCATCTGGACTAGCCCCAAGCTACTCCCTGGCTTACAAAGGTTAAATGAGCCTGACCTGCACTAACTACATCTCTTACCTACAGGAAAGCTCTACAAAGTTAAGAGACTCACCTTCCATCAGTGTCTCCAGTTCCCCAGAGCCCAGGCTGGCAGACACAGCAGAGCTGAGCCATTCCTGGCTCTCCTCCACCACTACAGAGTACGAGCACCTAATTAAGTCCTAGGTTCAGTGGGAGAAAGAGACACATCCCCTTCTCCCAGTAGTTCCAACACAGTCTGCAAACTGGAGCCTAGGGAACTTTTGAGGGCATTGTACCAACTGCTTCCCTCCTCCCCCAACTTAGTTCTAAGCTTCCAGGTACTGTTGGGATCAATATCCCAGCTCCAACCAGATATATATATATATTCAGTATACCCCAGCTCTGCTCCAGGTATTCCATCTAGCTGGGAACTCAAAGCAGCCCTTCTTAGGGAAGCACACTGTACTGCATTGAAGTCCTCCAGTTTTGAGACAGGCACGTCAATCTACTTGAAGAATGAATGGTAGAACCACAGAGTAAATAAATAAATGATCTAGTCAAAACTCATGCATAACCTGGACTTTTGATAATCCCAGCACTTGGGAGGCAGAGGCAAGCATATCTCAGAGATTAAGACCAGCCTGATCTACATAGTGAGTTCCAAGACAGCTGGGGCTACTAGGAGACCCTGCCTCAAAAACAAAGAAACAAAAAGACCTAAATTAACAGAGCCATATCTGCAGGCTAGATGCTAAACTTTCTGTCAGGCTTTGAAGGTTGTATATCACTGGGTTCCCCAACCCAAGCATGAAGAGGTCAGCCCAGCACACACAGCACACCCGGTCCCCAGCCTAGGTACACAGCAAACCTTTGAACACTAGATATAGAGCACACACAGGAAGCAGAGCCATACAGCTATCTCTCAAGCATCCCTGCTCTACAATAGCAAATTCTTATTCCTTGTGGGATGGATAAGTCGAAGTGTCTTCATGACTTGCAAAAGCCACAAGCCACAGCCACCTTGCCCTGAGGTTTAGGCATGTCTAACACTGTTTTGCAGACAGCTGTTTGGGGAACAAACACAACTGGGTGTACCTAGTCCAGGCCAATCCAGAGGTTGCAGCTTAGCAGCTTAAGCCATCACAAATGGAGTTCCTAGTTCAACCTGCCAGGACCTCCCAAGGCTCCTACAGCTCAAGGATACCAGACCCCAACCCCTTCCCACTGCCCCCTCTCAAGCAGGAGACTTCATAAAAGGGATTCCCTTAGTTGTGCAACTGTTTAAGATTTTAACAGTTGTCCATTTTTTAAAAACCTTATTGCCTGTTTCTCCTAAGTAACCCTCAGGCTGGGAAACTAGAATGGAAGCTGCAGCACTAAATCCCCAGGCCCAATACTTTCCCAAACACTATGGGGGGTGTGGGGGAGGCAGCAAAACCCCTTCCAACTGTCTAGTCACAACACCCCTGGTCACTGCACAGCCAGCAAAACCAGCCCTAGACCATTCCTCTTAGGGGACTTCTCTGTTACTCTCACTGTGTTCTTATACAGTAGTGCCTGGTTTTTTTGTTCCTTTTTCTTGTTTTGTTTGAAGCTAAACATTTGGGGTGAGTAACCAGCTGTCTGGGTTTCCAATTGGCAGGTTAATCACTTCCTATTGGAAGATCTGGAAAAGGTTGTTGCTCCCCTCCTTGGAAATGGCACATTCCTGTCTTTGTGGCTTCTCTGTTTACACACATTTTGCTACCTAATGTCAACACTTGCTAATGAATAAATATATCACTCTACTCCCAGAAAATGAGGTCCTGGCCTGCCAGAAGGACTGCTTAAATCCTGGGAACAGATTTACCCAGTATCTTTGTGACAAACCCAGGAACAACACGTAGCCCTTCTTGTCTATGGAGTTTAGAGGCTGGGGTAAACATCTACCAGGGTCATCTTCACCTCTGGGGCCATAGGGACTTCTCTCTTTTAAGGTTAATCTCCACATTTGAAGAATGCAGAGGTGGTGGAGGGGGGAATAGGACTGCCATGGTCCCTTGGAGAAGTAAACTCAAAAACTCAGGCAAGTTATAGCCATTAGGAAAACAGTTTGGTAATTCCAGCCAAAGTTTGTTACAAATACAGAAAGCTGGTTATCTCTTCATTAATGACCATTTATCTGGTGTTTTGTAAATCGAAAGCAAAATATCACATGCTTTGCAGGCCGCCTATTAAGACAGGCACCAGACAAGCAGGAATGCCTTCCCAGCTTGAGGAAGCTGGTGGAGCATGGGGAGGCCTGGCTAGACAGCATGGGCTTCACTTACATGTTCATTAAAGTATTTAATTTATGACAACGCCCCAGCAAAACTTTTAATTAGCCGGGGGGGGGTGTCAAAACTCATGAGGTGGAAGGACTTGTAGACTCCTAAGCACTAAATGGTGTCCAACCCTTCACTTTTCCTTCTCTTAGAACTTTAGCAAAAGAAAAATGTCAAAAGTGTTACATTTTTTGTAAGCAGCAGCATTAACAGGCACAAAAGCCAAAGCTAAAACCTGTACTTTCAGCAAATGAATCTCCTGCTGTAAAGGAGGAAACAGGGTTTGTCTCTGCTGTCATTCCCAATCTGTTTTGCTGACCCTGTCCCCTGGCACTGTCAGCTCGGAGGGATGGGCCCTAGTGCTGCCAGCCAGAAGTTGAATGCAGACAACCACAACAGGGCTGGTGCCAGTCTCAAAAGGGCTTCTGCCCTGGCCCCATGCCATCCTGTGACAAAGCAACAGGCAGGCAGAGCTATGCTGAAAACTTTTATGAGTCCCTCTACCAAGAATTCTGAGAAAATCTCAGGAGGGAGCTGACTTATTGATGACTTGTACGGACAAACTTACTCCCCTCTAACGTGTACCTATGTATCTAGAATGCCCAACTGTGCACTCCAAACCCAAGTCTCCTCTGCACCTTCTGAAACTATCCTCTGGTTCATTTACCCATCCTTTCCACAGATTCTTCTGGCACTTAGAAAGTCTCAATTTTTCCATCAACCTGTCCTATTTGGCTCCCAAGACATTTAGTGGATTAAAAGCCTCCATGTGCTAAAGCTGAGCTAATTTTGGTTACACAGTGCACATAAAAAGAACAAAATGTAAAGCATATCTAGGAAACCTCTTTAAAAAAAAAAATTCCAACCACAACAACAGAAAAATTTACCAAATCAAATATCCAATATAGGAAGGCTGTAACTACCTTGAAAAGTCAAACACCTCCTCAGGCTCCAGCCAGACACAAAAATGTTGATTCTAGAGAGTCTGGCTCTAGCCTAAGAAATGAAAGACTTGAAAAGCCTCTACTCACCAGTTGGTTTGAGAAAATCCATCGGGTATCTGGAGTAAGGAGGAGGGGGAGACTCTGAAATTTAAAAAGTAAGAGGATATAAAGGACGGGCCATGAGAAAGAGAGATAGAAACTTATGATAACTCAGGCATTCTTTTAGCCCAACTGTTTGTCTTAGCTGTGGGGGTTGGAGGCAGGGCCGCAAGGCGGTGATTGCCTTGATATTTAGCTGTCAGATAAACAAAAGAGGCCGCCTGGCGCCAGCCTCGGAGCTCAGCTCCTCCACGTCTGCGGCCGTCGCCGCCGCGATCGGAGGGCTCGGCTGGAAACCACCGGCCCGGCTGCGGCTGAGCGTCCTAGAACTCCAGACCCCGCTCCCCCTGCCCTCCACTACCCGGGCCGCCCCCAGGAGCGCAATTCACCTCCGCCCTGCCTCTCCGCTTGGCACCGCAGCGCCAGACAAGGGTCCTTCTTCCCGGCCCACCTGGGGAAAGCACCCCAAGTGTGAACTTGGGGGACCTGCGAGTAGTAGGGTACGCCCCTCCACCCTGTGCACGCACAAAGACAAGGGGAGGGGGGGTGGAGGAGCTAAGAGGGCATAAGGATAGGTGCCTATTCAGGGTCCCAGCCGTGAAGCCCAGGCCCCAAAGCAGTTAAGGGGCAACAAAGTCAGAGCAGTGCTGGGTGGGCGGCGGGAGGGTGGGGCTGTCAACCATCCTAAGGACCACTAATTGCATGCTTTTTCTGAGCGAAAGGTAAAAGTAGAGGCCACCCAACTTCTCCAGACTGCCTGATCCTTTTTACCCCGAGGCTGACACAGCTGAGAAAGGATGCCTAGCTCGGCCTCCATCCTATTCCTCTGCCCCCAAACTCCAAAGCTCTGAGGCCGGGTCAGTATCTGGGCCACTTGTGCCGAACGTGACCCTCCTACTTAAGGAGCGGAGACTTTCCAGCTTTTATAGCTAGTTTCTTCCAGCCTTCCTTGGAGGGCCTGGACTTACTCCAACTCGGCCACACACCTCAACGCCTTTCCGGGTACAGGAGAAGCGTGATCCCCACTTCTTTCTGCACCTCCTTGCTGACCCGTAAATGAGGGTATCTGATTTTCAACTGCCTGTCTGTCTGGTGCAAGCAGGAGCAGTATCCATGGATTCCCCCTCCCCGGCGGGGGGAGGGGGTTGGTGGTGTTAAGTGCAATAGGGTGAGAGTCAGTGGGGACTCCAAGGATTGCTCTTCGAGTTTCCCTAGTCCCGTCTCTGATCTAGTCCCTTGCCTCCTCCAGGAGAGGATGTGTACAACACACACACACCCCACAGACGGGCATTTCTACCAGCACTTCCGCGCCAGAGGGAGGGAAAGGTGGACGCAGAACTTACCTAGTTCGCAGAGTCGGCTAAGGTGATGGGGGTTGCAGCACACCAGCTCGGGGTTGATCTTCCCGTAAGATTCACAGCAACACAGCCTCTTAACTTCGGAGGAATGCCTGAGATCCGGCCACCTGAACACTTTGCACAGCAGGAGGGGGAGCGAATAGGGCGAGGGCGGTTGCGCGGGCTGCGCGCTGGCGGGAGCCCCCGGGCCCAGCCTGCAGTCCAGGCGGCCGGGCAGCAGGAGGCACGCGGTGCGCGTACCGCCGCGGGACTCCACGGCCTGGAGCAGCAGCTCCAGCTGCCGCTCCTTCAGTTTCTTGAGCACCGAGTGCGTGAGCGCCTTCAAATCCGCCTCGGCGCCCCCGGCCGCCCCGGCGCCCGAGGTTGGGGGGTGGGGGTGGTGGTGACCTTTGGCACCTCGGACCGCCTTGCCCAGGCAACAGCCAGCCCTGCCCACGCCGCCGCCACCGGCCCCATATGCCCGTCCGTCCGTCGCCCCTTCTCCCCGCAGCTCGCCTCCTCCGCCGCCGCCCCCCGCGCCCTCCTCCTCGTCCTCGCCGCCGGGCGCACGGCTCCTCCAGAGACGCCGGACGAGCGCAGATCGTTTGGTCCTGAACATGCGGGGCGAGGAGGCGAGGAGAAAAGTCGTTTGCCGGCTAAGGAGCGAACATGACCTCCGCACACCATGAAGAAGTCGGGTGCCGAGTTGGGGCAGCAGGCGCAGGCGACAGCAGCAACAGCAGGGGCCCTGGCAGGAGCGGCGGCGGCCCGAGGGGCGCTCCGTGGCATGCGCCAGTCTCCCGGAGGCCGGGGCGCGCGCGGGGGCCCAGGGG